ACAAGTGCAGACTTGTGCTTGCACAGAATGCTGTGCTAAGGTTCCAGACACTTTAATGTGTTTTAGCCAAATCTCCTTCCTGGTTACCAATTGCTTTTTAATAACGTGGAGCAAAAGAAATCATTTTGTCTTGAGTTATATCTGTGACTGTCCTAATCAAATAAAAACTGGATCTAAGGTCAAATCCAGCTTTAGGATGGCTCAAGTTGAAGACCAGTTTGATGTGTCTCTCTCTCTTCCCATTTACTACTTCTCTGCTTCAAACCTACTACTACACAAAAACTTGTGTGCAGCGTAATTCAAGCAAGACATAGGAAGAATTCCAGATCAAAGGGACAAATCCAGCTCACCACATTACCAACGCGCAGTGGAGGGATGTATTTTTTGATAATACTGCTAAACAAGCTTCAGAGAAAGAAAGGTAGCAACCTCACACAAGCAGCAGGTGAGTAAGGATGCCTGACATTTCTTTGGAATTCAAGCACACTGTGTACAACTGCTCTGCATCAAACAGGTCACGGTGTCCACCAGTACAGAGGAGCCTGATAAACACTACCCATGCATGAGCTTTGTCAATTATGTGTATTTTGCCAAATGTGCAAGCACTTGTAAAACCTGAACCAGCTTTCCTACAATATGAAGATGCAAAAACATTCTTTAAAGATCTCAGTAAAACTGAGAGTCCCTGAAAAATGACACATAAAAAAAACCCCATGAGGAACCTTCCTCCCATTAGGACAGTACCAGCCCAATCTACATAGTCAAACCCCAATTTCACTCAATATTTAAATCAACACATAATCTGAATGTGCCAAAGCAAAGAGGTACAACCCTGCCAAAGTGTCCCATCAGTATTTGAAAAGTAGAACCTCAGTCTAGGCAATGTAATGAAAATGCTACTTCAATAGCACCTTCAAAACTCAACACAGCCCGATGCCTTCCCCAGGCTCAGCCTGAAGGGGCAAATTGAATGGCAAAAACCTTCTAGGGGACACAAACTCTGATGTGCCTGAATTACAACTGGATAAAGATATCAGCATTAGATAGGATGAAGCTATCTTACATACCATGGGCAAAAGACTGCCAAAAACGAGATCAACCAATACAAACCCAGCCCTCGGTATCTGCTTAAGGGCCTCAGATGAGCTGCTGAAACTGAGCACTAAAGGCAGGTGAGGAACCAACGTCAAACACAACCCTGGCCTGCTCCAGGGCCGCTCACGAACCACACCTGGCTTCTTGGCTGGAGGCTTCTGCTCCTCCTCGCTGGAGCTGTCACTGCTGCTGGAAGACTTCTTCCTCTTCGCCGGGGGGCCGTTCGGGACCAGCTTTCTGTTCTTGGCAGCTGGAGACCTGCGGGCAGGAGGGATGAGCTGGGCAGGGGGGCAGAGCTGGGCGCCCGGGGGGGCAGCGCGGGAGCGCGCCCCGGC